TAAATTTTGTGTAAAGGTTTGATGATTGGGATTTTCGGTTTACTTGGCTGGCCATAGTGTAGAGACAAATGTATATATATGTGTGTGCTGTTGTTGTTTTCCAAGGCCCATGGCCCTAGAGTAGATCCCCATTAACGTAGTCACCAGTAGATGAGACTGAGCGCACATATTTCGGCCTATTTTTTTGTCTGGTGACGATTAACTAAATTTGGTTTGCTCCACTAGGGAGTGGGAATGTGGGAAAGTGCCCGCCTCGTGACTCTTTGGGAGCAGAGGATGTTAGGATATAAAATACTTTAAGCTGACAATAATATTATGGTACTGTCGTAGTTTGAGTTCTGTGTGTTTGCGATTTTGTGCTGTCTAGCTTTTGTAAGGTGTTGTTTGCGTTGTGTTTACTGTTATTTTGTTCTTAGTACTGTGTACCTACTAACTTTCTTCCCCTGGTTGTACTGATTATTATTCATGATGGCGTTCTTATAATAATAGATTCTAGATCTATGCTAGGAACGGGCACGGGACAAAATTATAGATTAAAAAATTATTTTGCTTCAATGATTGGCAGCGACCAGTAAAGTAGACAAGCTTCATTTCAACAGTTGTTTGCTTATTTCATGCTCAGTCATCTCATAGCTGCGCCTGTTGGCAAAGTACTCAAAATTATCATCAGGTATCTTCTGTTTGCCTACAACTGCTCTGAGCAAGAGAACGCCTCTTTGCCAACGTCAGCTTACCTGTTTCTCCAGCAGCTGTGGTAACTTTGGACTTGCATTAAATACCAAAAGAGATGAAAATAGTGTTGTAACCACCTCTCGGAGAGCTTCGTATTTGCATAAAAGTGTACCTCTCCAGAGTCTGCGGTCTCATATTTTGTTCATGTCAGAGAGAGTCAAGTGCAGTAGAAAATTTCACCTACCTTTGCCTTAGGAGCAGACTGTCTCAAACAGCCAATACAGACACAGAGATCAGTAACGGTTGCTAGAGCCGGTGCAGCGTTCAGACGACTCGAAGGAAAAACATCTGAGAGCACAGAGTAGAGACCTCAGTCTCAGCACAAAGCTGAAGGTTTAAGACAGCGTAGTGATCTTTGTCATCGTTTTCCTCCACGTCAGTTTCATGCCTTGCACTTTTTGGCCGTCTTACAACACTGTTTCGTCAAGTTTATAAAGAGATTCAGATATGTACAGGATGGAAGGTTACACAGTTTGTTTTTGAAACAGTGCAGATCTGTTTGCTATGTTGAATAGATCTTGGAACTTGGAACAGTTTGAGTGTTGCTATATTTTGTGTGCTATGTTTTAAAATGCAGAACTTTGTCCAAGTTGAGATGCAGAAATAATTCAGTGTCAAACTTCTTCGGAAGCAAGATTCTAAGAAAAGAAACTCCAGTTTGGGACAATTTAAGTGAACAAAATTTGCCTTCAGACTCTAGGTTGCCTTTGCCTTTGTTAGTTTTGTTTAACATTTGGCACCTTAGAAGTTTTTTTTGTTGTGATTGATTTCATAGATCTTTTCACTGTGTAAAACGTCCACCTGAAAACAGGCATTTCACCAGAGGGCGGAGAGACACGTTGGACCGGCAAGAGAGCACGAGTCACTGGAGAGCCCGTCATGAAGCCGGAAGACGTGGCCACTCAGCAGACCTAAGCCAAGACTGGCCTGAGCTGGATTTCCTGCAGAGACTGCCACAGTTCCCCTTCCCCATCCCCTCCCTTGCAGAAGTTGGAAGTACTGGGCCTCATTGTGGCGCAAGGGTGAACACGCTGTTCAAACCACAAGACACCTGTCCTGCTGAAACAGGAGCAGACTGTGTGGAGAGGTTTGAGCTGGGTGGCCAACACAGTACTACACTCACCAGTGTGAAGGATGAATGGAGAGTCTATAGGCAAGTGTGCAAAATGTGGGCTGTTGGATGTAGTTTGTTGGTGTATTGAATGAAAGTCCGAACTTGAACTTCTTGTGTTTTTTAACCCTTCCAGCCCCATGGGCGTATATTTTCAGCAGCACTTGCACCTCCCACGGTCCCAAGAGCATATATACTGTTTTGGGGGGTACCAAATTTGCGCATTTTCGGAAAACGCGAACCTAATTAAACTTTAATTTTCATATTTGTACATTTACCATTAAACATTGTTATATGTTATTATCTAAACCCTCATTACAAAGATACTACATCACTTTTTAGAATGCATGCCTTTTTCTCTGAAATACTGCTTAACACATTACACCCTAAGGGCCTGGACGGGAAGTCCATTCCTAGATCCTAAGCAAGGGGAAGGAACCCACCTCTCGTGAATACAAGCCTTTAAAAAACACATTTTAAAAATACTAAACAAATTCCAAAAATCCTGAAAAAATAAAAGTTAAAAAGAAAACTGAATGTAGTTTCAGAAAAATATAACTTTATGTATGCGCAAACTGTTGGAAATGTTGTCACTTTAGTTCAATCGGGGTGTCCGACCCATCACTCTCACTCTCAGCCTCGCGGTCGGGCCCTAGGTCTAAATTCTAGATTTTCTCCGTCTGATCAATCGGAATCGCCCCAAACTCTTCCTACAACGTTTTCATCAAAATCTGAGCCTTCTGATTTGTCACATGCTCATTTTTGCTCAAATCCATCGTTATTTCCGTTTTCGAACTCAATTGTGTCGCTTTTCAACAAGTCGAGACACTTTCGAAGTGTCGGTAACGCGATCGCACTTCGATCAGCTCTAATACTAAAACTACTGGCCCGAAAAATTTCGTTTCGGTATCAAACGAAAGAAGAAACTTTTTGCTATACTATGCAAATCAAAATCCCGGCCCCAGAGTCTCGTCAAGGCGAGACTTTCGTTTCTAAAGACGCTGGGTCGGCGCGGGCGGTTCCGGGCGAGTCAGGGTGGAGCGCGTAAGGGAATTCCCGGGCGATCCCGGGCGAGTCAGGGTGTAATGTGTTAATTGGCTGGGACTGGGATAAGGGAGTGCACAAAAATGGCTGGGGCTGGAAGGGTTAATGTATGTATGTATTTCTTGTAAGTAAATTGTTAAATGTAAGTTTTGACTACTTCCACAACTAGTTTAATCTTTTATGTCATGTATATTGGGGCTGAAAGTGTAACACTACAGGTTTTTCATGCTGTCCTCTGTTTAATTCCCCTGACTGCCCAATAGCAAGGGAAATGACTCTAACACGACTAGGTGAAGGACGATATCCCAATGAGCTATTTCCCTTTGTACACACTGATGAGATAGCTTGGGGTTGTTTTTTTTAATGCAAGTATGTATTTCTTGTTAGTATATATCTTTTGATCTAAGTTTTTTTTACTTTATATTCTAGCTGACACAGCCCTGTGCTCTGCTATCTTCAAACCTGGTCATAAATGAGACTTTCTTGTGGTGCTAGAGACTATAAGCCTGTACTAGAAAAAAATTAACAAAGTCAAATAATTGATTTTTGTTTTTAAAAAATTTATTTATGTATTATTTGTCTTATAAATACTTTTGTATTGGCTATTCCGTACCACAACTTGTGCATGAGTATCAAGGTACCAGACCTGCCAAGTGGTGTGATAAAATTGGCAATCTGCAACTGGCATAGATTCTTTGTTTATCCGTTCCCCCGTCGTTTTATGAAAGAAAAATTCTGAAATTATGCAAACTGAGCCCAAAAATGTGAAATTAAGCGATTCTGTTAATTTTTTACAAAGAATGATGAAGGAAAATAATCGGAAATTTTATGCAAAAAAATGATCAAATTTTGCTAAATTATGCGGGGTGCATAAAACCACGGTTACAGGTTTATAACAGAGGCACAAATCTCTGCACAAAGTGACAAAGTCAGATACACAGCTGCCGGGTACACAGATAGAATTGGAGCCATCTGATTGGTTCTGTTGGTATCATTGTGGACAAAGTAGATGGCCCTGGTTCAAGTACCGGGCTGGGCCTTCATGAACTCTGGGGGTTTGTGGAGTTTTCAAAGCTCTCAACCCACATGTCTTTGTCCTATCGAAGACGGACTTTAAAATTTAGGGGTTCCGCCACTTAAATAGCCTGATAGTGTTGGTATGGACTTTTAAAAAACCTATACAACGACATGATAAGGTACAGATAAAAAAAACTGTCCTGACTGTCCTCCATGTCACTGACATCGACAACTTTGTTCACAGGGGAGAGGAAGGCAGCAACCCCCTCCTCCTTTAGATCTGTCCCTTCCTCAACAAACTTGCGGAAACTTTCACCGCCAACGTCTACCCCCACCATCAACATGTCTGTCGACAAAGGCGTGTTGGCGTGGAGTGGCAGTCTCAAGTCTCAGCTACCCAGTGTACTGCCCAGACAAGCCAGGCAAGTTTGGTGTCAAGATAATTCCAGCTCTGTGACTTCAGCAATGCCCACTGCACACTTGCCAAGTGCTCAGATAAAATTGGAGCCCTTCA